GAGGGGAGACGTCGGGAGCTCACGAGCTGGCTCCAAGCTGACGAGAGGCGACGGCAGGAGAAGGTGGGGAGGCGTGAGCGGCACGGTGGCATGCTGCCAGGGGAGCGAGCGCAAAGCTTGCTCGACGACCCCTACCCCGACGTGATCCTACTGCGAGTGGGACGCGACCCAGAAGGAGGACCGCAGTGCTGGAACCAGTGTGGGAGGAGCTGCGCTCGCTTGGAGCACGACTGGGGCTGGTACTGCTGTCGGACATGCCGTGACACGGATGGCGACACCCATGGGCCGTGCTGTCAGGCACGACACGAAGACCTTCAGAGGAGGCAGAAGGAGGCTGGCTACCGCCCCCCAGCGGGCGAGGAGGCGAGTGGCAGCGGCGGTCCAGGAGCCCAGGCAGCAGGCGAGGAGGCTCCGAGGCACCCGCCGCCCAAGGCGGCGCCGGACGGCCGCCTCCCACCCATCTGGGAGGAGCAGCGGCCTGCGGTGGTGAAGGCGCCGCCCGGGACGGCCAGGGAAGGCCGGCAGCACGAAGGTCCACCCGCTGGAGGGGTGCAGGGCCCGCTGGTGGGTAGCGGAGGAGACCCACCAGCCACCAGGAGCCGGCATGCGGGAGGTTCAGAGGATGAGAGCTGGGGCCCCTGGACGGCCACAGGGCGGCGCGTGGTTGCCGAAGGCGTGGGAGAGGGCGCCAGCGGTGCGGATCAGGCCCCGCCCCCCCCAGAGGCGAGGGAAGCCTTGCGGCCGTGCCGGCTCCCAGGTTGCCCCTATTTGGAGCGCTCCCAGCCCGCGACGGCAGTCGACGGGGGAGCACTGTGGCGGCCAGGGTTCTGCTGCAACAAGTGCGCAGGGCGGTCGGAGGGAGCGGATTGGGCAGAAGGAGGCGCGAAGCACTTCAGACACTGTGAGAAGATGCCCCACGGCCAGCCACCCCCAGGTGGGGAGGGGCCGTCAGAGACCGCAGCAGCAAGTAAGAAGCGCAAGCAGGAGCGCAAGCAGGAGATTGCAGCGGCTGCCGCCCGGGTGCTGGCCGCCGCTGCGTAGGCTGCCCCCCCTGCGGGGTCTGAGTCCGAGGCCGCGGAGGAGCAGGGCGAGGAGAGTGGCAGCGGAAGTCTGAGCGAGGAGTGCCCCCCCCCGTCACCAGGGGAGCTCGCCCGGCGGGCACGTGCGGAGCGAGGGGCTGCCCGGCAGAGGAAGGCGGAGTCAGAGCGGCCCGAGGATGGGGCCGGGCACCCCGGTGCGGGGCAGGCGGAGTACATCCACCTGAGGGCGAAGACCCCTCCTGCACCAGCAGCGGTCAAGCAGGAGGAGAGGTCGGAGGAAGAGCCCCCGGCAGAGGTTGCGCGGGCGGTCGGTCAGACTTACCGTGCGCTCGCTAGGCGGGTAGAGTTTCAGAGGACAGGGCTTTGGTCCGCACCGGAGGAGGAGGACCGCCCCAGGGGGAGGGCCGCCGGGGTGGAGAAGTCGGTGGTCCACCCCCGGCCTGGCCGAGAGCCACTCCCGCAGCCAGAGGGGCGGGCCGACCGCGAGCCGCTGCCCCAACCAGGAAGTTGGGCCCCCCCTTCGGGGGAGTCGAGTGGGTCCCGCGGGCTGGAGAAGCGGCTGCGCCACCCTGGTCATCGGGCGGAGGAGGACCCGCTCAGGCCTGGCGGACCGGCACGTGCTGCCGAGGCCGTGAGGGACCTCAACTCACCTGAGTCCTACTCGGAGGAGGACTATGAAGAGACAGAGGAGGAGGCCGAAGCGTTTCGGCCGGTTCCTTTCCCAGGAGGCGGCCCAGACGCCCGCTATGCGTGGTGTGAGTACTGCGGTGTGCAGGGCGAGGGCCGGGACACGAGCTGCCCGATGTGCAACAAGCCCTACCCCATTTCAGTGGCCAAGGACCGGTTGGCGGCAGCGCAGAGGGCAGCCAAGGCAGGGAGTGCCGCCGCGGTCGCCCCCCGGCACGGGGGAAGAGAGGAGTGCGAGCGTGAGGAGGTGGCGCGGCGTGCGGCACCGGAGGCCAGACCGCCCGAGGACATCGACCCGGAGGCGGTGAGCCGGTACCTGGAAGCGGCAGCGGGCAGCGGACAGGGCAGCGAAGGGCTCGAGCGGCAGCTCAGGCGGATCGCCAGGGAGAATTCCAGGCGGGCCGGCGGGCGTGCCGATGCTGGGTACGCGCCAGAGCTCCAGAGGTTGGTAGACGCAGCCGTGGTGGCTTCGGTGGCAAAGGGGACGAAGGCGACCTGCGGCGTCGCTTGGAGGCAGTGGACGACGTTCTGCCGGATCCGCAGGAGGTCGCCCATCCTGCATGGCGAGACTCGTGAAGAGCGTCACCAAGACGAGGAGGAGCTGCTGCTATTCATGGTGCACCTGTACAACAGCCTGAAGCGGTCGCACGGGACGATACGGTCAAAGTTGCTGGGGATCCGTTCACACCACGTGATGCTGGGTGAGCCCGACCCCTTGGCGGGGAAGCCGCGGCTGTGGATGGCGTTAAGTGGGATAGAGAACTGGCAAGGGCCCGGAAAGAGGAAGCTCCCGGTTACGACCAAGATGCTGAAGAGAATCCGAGACATGCTGAAGCCAGACACTTGCGCGGACGACGCGGCCTTGTATTTCTGCGTGATCTTCGCCTTTTTCTTCATGATGCGGATTGGGGAGTACGCCCACTCGGGGCACTGGGATTTGAAGAAGGTCTTGACCGGGCTGGACATTGCCCCGAAGTGCAAGGGCGAGCAGGTGAGCCACTTCGCTGCCGCGGACGAGGTGGTGCTGTGGTTTAAGGCGTCGAAGGCGGACCAGAAGGGAGCAGGGCAGGCGAGGAACCACTACCGCTCGAACGACCCGTTCGGCATCTGCCCGGTGTGGGCGGCGGAGTGCTACAACCGTTGGTTCCCGAGCCGTATCGCGGGCAAAGAGGCACATTTACCACTTGCGAGGTGGGAAGACGGCAGCCCGATCACGCGGGAGCGTATCCAGGGCTTGCTTCAGAAGGCGGCGGCTCTGGAAGGCTACCCGCCCGACAGGTTCAAGAGCCATTCACTCCGAATCGGCGGAGCGACGGCCCTGTACCACTGCTTCCAGGACACGGAGCTGGTCAAGCGTTGGGGGCGGTGGAATAGCGGAGCCTTCCATCAGTATTTGTGGGGGGCGAACGAGGACGCCGCTGGAGTATCGGAGGCGATGGCGAAGTCTGTTGCAACCCTGCATGTGGGGTACAAGGTTGATGTGGCGGGAGACGGACCGGCCGCTGATGTGAAGGAAAAGTCAGCGGCCTGAGGATAATTAGCAGCAGGAGTGCGAGTTTTGTGCCAAGGCGCGTCACCACTGGAGGGGCTGATGTTGGATTGTGCGCAGTCCTGGGGCAGCGGCCTGGGGGCAGTGGTGACCCCTCGGATCGACGGAGGTGGGGAGGTAGACCCCGGGGCGACTCGCCAGTGCGGCTCCCGGGAAAGTTGGAGGAGGAAAGACAGAGGTGAAGTGGAGGAGGGCCGCGAGCCCCGTTCGGCACCACCCGCAAGTCACGGGCGCCGAGGGGGCGAGCGGAGGTGAGGAGGTCGAGGGCCGGGGCGTCCCGCCAGTGCGGTCCCCGAGGAGAGGTGGAGGTGGCCGGGGCGTCCCGCCAGTGCGGTCCCCGAGGAGAGGTAGAGGAGGCCGGCGGGTGCTCCGCCAGCGCCGGCACGCGCTGCGCAGTGAGGCGCCCAGCCGTGAGCCCCATGCGGCACCACCCGCAAGTCACGGGCGCCGAGGGAGCGAGAAGAGCTGGGTGGCCGAGGAGCCGCCGGTCTGGCGGCACAGCTGGGCCTCTGCTGAGGCCTAGCCTGAGTGTGGTGGAGGACGGCACGCGCCTGCGTTTGCCAAAATAGCGCGCGTGCTTGTCCGCTGCTAGTGTTTTGTTTGAGCCCGAACAGTGCTTGTGCTCGTCGCGGGTCGGGCGCTCACTGTTTGGTTTCTGCCAGGCACCTTCTCACTTAAACGTGAGAGTTTGAGCGTGCGTAAAACGTAGGGTTTCAGGGAGTAAGTGCCTGGCGAGGGGGAAGGGTCTCTCTTGCCTTCTGTCCCTCTCCCCCTCTCCGCGGCCCCTCTGGGGCTCAAGTTTCCTTCTCGGGCCCTTCCCTCCCAGGCCCTCCCTGGCCCTTCGTAGGTCCTTTTCCTTTTTTCGGCCTTGACCGCATAGCGGTTCGGGCCGAGGAGCCGCCGGTCTGGCGGCACAGCTGGGCCTCTGCTGAGGCCTAGCCTGAGGGTGTGGAGGACGGCACGCGCCTGCGTTTGCCAAAATAGCGCGCGTGCTTGTCCGCTGCTAGTGTTTTGTTTGAGCCCGAACAGTGCTTGTGCTCGTCGCGGGTCGGGCGCTCACTGTTTGGTTTCTGCCAGGCACCTTCTCACTTAAACCTCCTCCTCCTCCTCCTCCTCCTCCTCCTCCTCCTCCTCCTCCTCCTCCTCCCCGCCTCCTCCTCCTCCTCCTCCTCCTCCTCCTCCTCCTCCTCCTCCTCCTCCCCCCTTCCCCTCCCCCTCCTCCTCCTCCTCCTCCCCTCCTCCTCCTCCTCCTCCTCCTCCTCCTCCTCCTCCTCCTCCTCCTCCTCCCCTCCTCCTCCTCCCTCCTCCTCCTCCTCCTCCTCCTCCTCCCCTCCCCCCTCCCCCTCCCCCCTCCCCCTCCCCCTCCTCCTCCTCCTCCTCCTCCCCTCCTCCCCTCCTTCTCCTCCTCCTCCTCCTCCTCCTCCTCCTCCTCCTCCTCCTCCGCCTCCTCCTCCTCCTCCTCCTCCTCTCCTCCTCCTCCTCCTCCTCCTCCTCCTCCTCCTCCTCCCCCTCCCCCCCCCTCCTCTCCCCCTCCCTCCTCCTCCTCCTCCTCCTCCTCCTCCTCCTCTCTCCTCCTCCTCCTCCTCCCCTCCCCTCCTCCTCCTCCTCCTCCTCCTCCTCCTCCTCCCTCCTCCTCTTCTCCTTCTTCTCCCTCCTCCTCCTCCTCCTTCCCCTCCTCCTCCTCCTCCGCCTCCTCCTCCTCCTCCGCCTCCTTCTCCTCCCAGGTACGCGACCCCGATGCCGACGCCCCCGCCGCCCGTCCAGTTCTCCAGGGTCGGCGCCGGCTTCTGCGAAGGCAGGAGCCGCGGGAAGGACTTGAGTTCCTACTGGGCGCAGCACGAGGAGTCCGAGGCCAAGTGCCGGCGCCACTGCGCCGCGCTCCAGGGGTGCGTTGGCTTCTCCTTCGGGGGCCACGACTCGATGTGCGCCCTCCACCTCGGAAGGAAGGTCAGGAACCCGCCAGAAGGTTATCCAGCTGCCTGTGGCAAGCCCTACCACCCTGCCAGCGCAGCAGCGCGGCAGGGATGCGGGTGAGTTCAAGGCCCGCTCCAGTGCAGTGCCCTGTCTGAATTGGCGCGGGTATGAAACCTCTCCTTCCCTGTCCTCAGCCTCATTCTCCTCCTCGTCATCCTTCCTCCTCCTTCCTTCTCCTCCCCCCTATCCCCTCCATCTTGGGTGCTTGTGGGGAGATCATTTGGGCCTCCTGGGGGCCTCTCGGGTCCCTCTCGGTGGCCTTATATTGAGGGTATCGTGGGGCCTCGCCAAGGGTCTCGGGGCCGTTTTGGGCGCGATGGTTCTACAGAGCGCTCCCGAAGAGGCTCGGTGGAACCATCTTGGGGACGCCTGAGCGGGCCTTGGGGCTGTCCTTGATCACCTCTTTGATTGGATCCGGGCAGGCCGAGAGAGCCGGCGTCGTCTCCGTGAACCCTCCTCTGCCGAGGGGGGGGCGGCCTTCGCGAGCCCGGCGGGCATCGGCCTTTACAGTCGACCTGCATGGTGAGGATGCGCGTTTTTCCAAGCTTGCCCTCTTGCGCATCCTTCCCTTTCGGCCCCTCCTTGGCCGCTGTCGCGCTTTCGCGCGCGCCCCGCTCGCAGAGAGTCGGGATGGCCTTCCAGGGCCCCTGCATCCTTCTCGTGCGTCCTTATTTCGAGGACGAATCGGCATAAGCATGAACTTTCGGCGCTCCGCGTGGACTTCTTGGATCTGCTCTGAACCCCCCTGCCTGGCGCGCGGAGCGCGCCAGACGCGGCGCCGGAGGCGCCGCCGGGGGGCCCCCAGCGCAGATCCAAGAAATCCGCGCGGAGCTCCGAAAGTTTATGTTTATGCCGTTATTTTTTGTTCCTCTGTTCTGATACGGGTTGGCTGCAGACCGAGAGCAGCAGCACTGCCAGGCAGCCCACAAGCGTTCCAACACGCCCCGCGTGTGCCGCCGCGCCACCGTGGCGGACACCTTCCACGACGCGGCAGAGGCCCCGCCCCCGCCCGAGGGCGCCACCGAGGGCGGGCAGGAGCTCGGCGGGGAGGAGCTCCGCGGCGACGGCCAGGCCGGCGTGGCCTGCTACAAGAGGCCACGGAAGGGACACTGGCGTAATCGAGGTCTCCCAGATTCACCACCCACCAAACCACCCCAACACAACCCGAAGGCTCAGATTTACCCTCGATTTCTAGTGGGGGGGGTCGGGAAACATCGAAAAAACACGCGTGGAACCCTTACCCCCCCCAACCCGAAATTCGGGTCTTCGGGTTGGGTTGGGGTGGTCTGGTAGGTAGTCACAGATGGGATCGGGGTGCATGGGGTCGGACCAAGCAGTGGCGAGGCGTCCCAGCTCGCCTATAGGCCTACCACAGAGTGTTCTAAGACCCTCTTGTGGTCTGCACGAAAGGTTCTTAGAACATTTCTGGCTGGGACTGCCTTGTTTTCACATATCGGGTTTATGTTCTAAGAACATTGTTTTGGTGATTCGAACATTTTTGGGGTCTAAGAACATTTCGTGGTAGGCCTATAGGAATGCCGGGACGGTCAGTCCCTGCTCAATCGGATGATAGCGCCGCATCGCCGATGCATCGGCGATGCGGCTCGATGTGGAGGCCGGTTTTCTCCACCCCGATGGCGCCGATGCACCGCCGACGTCGCCGATGCATCGACGGTGCATCGCCGATGCATCGTGGATGCATCGCCGATGTATCGGTGATGCGGCACAATCTTCCGACCCCATCTACTCGGACCCTATGTAGAAAGCCTCTATGCAGACGCACTCTTTCGGGGGCCCGCGCGGATCTCTTGGATCGGCGCTGGACACCCCTCCCTGGCGCGCGGAAGCGCCGCTAGGAGGGCCCAGGGGCGCGAGTCGAGACGAAGAGCCAGGCCCGGGGGCAGCTCCGCAAGCTTGCCCATTTGGTCCTCGGGGGACCTCTTGAAGGTCCCTCTTGGGCAATGCTGTTATCCTTAGGTCGGGCATGTCTTCCTACAGGCGGATTTAGGAAGAAGGGTAAAACATTGTCAAACAAATATTCAAAACCAGTCCAAAATGGCCAACGAACCGTCTCCAGACGATTGTTATGAACCATTTTTGTATATACCTCCTGTGGAGGGACTTGCCCGACTTACTGTTCGCCTGCGGGGCTCTCTCTCTCTCTCTCTCTGTGGGCTGCAGCTGTCGTGCAAGAGCCCTCCCAGGAACGTCTCGGAGCGCGGGCCCGAGGCCTCCGCGCGGCCCCCCGAGAGGCTGCGCGCGCCTTCCTCCCCCCTCCCCCTCCCCTCCTCCCCTCCTCCCTCCTCCCATCCTCCCTCCTCCCTCCTCCCATCCTCCCCTCCTCCCTCCTCCCATCCTCCCCTCCTCCCTCCTCCCCTCCAGGCTGCCCCCGCCGAGGCTGCCCCCGCCGAGGGGCGACGCTCTCGCGCTGCGCCCCGAGGACTCGCTGTGCGCGCGGCTCGCGAGGTCGGCGGCCGCGGAGGCGGCCGCGGGGAGCGCGCCGCGCGCCCCCGCCGCGGCGGCGCGCTCCCCGCGGGCGGGGTCCTTCGCGGCGTTCCTCGCCCGCGGCGGCCACCTGGACGCCGTGGGCTACGGCGGGCTGCCGCGGGGGGCCTCTGCGGCCATGGAGTGCGTGAAGGACGTCGAGGGGAGCAGAGGCGGCATGAGCAGAAACTCTTTGGCGCCCCGCGCGGGTTTCTGGGATCGGCGCGAACACCCCCTCGCGGCGCCTGCGGCGCCGCCCCTGGCGCGCTCCCCGCGCCAGGGAGGGGGGTCCGGCGCAGATCCAAGAAATCCGCGCGGGGCGCCAAAAGTTTATGTTTATGCTGTTTTTTCTTCTTCTAGGACTACGCGGCCCCATGTCCAGAGTTCTGGATCAAGGACAAGGCTCGGGGCTCAAGGGACGGGGGCCGGTGCAAGCGGGGGTCGGCCAGAGCGCCGGATTTTTTGTGCAGGATCCTGCAGAGCCAGGGGTGCATTGGCCCAGGTTACAGCGTGCAGGATCCTGCAGGATCCTGCAGGATCCTGACTGACCTGGGTGTGGATGGACCCGGGTCAGTAGATCCCCGATGGCTCGGACGTTGACATATCCTTGTGGACGGACGACGATCAATGGAGAGGAAGCATGTGGCCTAGAACATGCTCAAACATCTTGAGCACACCTTTAATTCGGTGTTCGGATTGTTAGGGTGTCCGTTGTTATGGCATCCACAAACAGAACCCCCACCCCGCCGACTCGACCAGCGAGCTGCCCTCGTTCAGTCGGGCCGGTCCCTCTACAGGAGGAGTACTCGAAAATAGTCAAAACATAGCCTGGAGCCAATTTTCGGTTTATGTTTGATCATTTTTTTGGGTTCTTTTTTATTTTTAATGGTTCGTCCAACACCTTGAGCATTTTTTTGAATACTTTGGTCTACTTTTGAGCATTGTGGGCGTATTTTTTGTGTGACTATCTTTAAGTTTTCGTCCAAACCCCCCCTGTAGGTGTAGGGCGACACGCCCCACCCAGGTCTTGGGCAGGGCGCTGCGGGTCCCGCAGGCTGTGCCCCGGCCTTCGCCCGTCGACGCTCCGGCCTCGGGGCCCGCCCCCACTGCAGAGGGTGCCTCGGGAGCCACGCCGCCAGGCGATCCGAGTTTCTTCAGGAGGAAAAGAAACACACAGACACAATTAATCTTCGATTTCCCAGAAAATGTTGGAAAATATGGGAAGTGGGGGGGAAGACAAAAATCCAGAAAATATGGGAAAATATGGGGGATCCTTTTATTTGTGTGTATTTATTTGTGTGTCCCAGTTCCCCTTCATTTCTCCACAGCGCCCACCCCGGGTTCCCTGAGGTGCTGGCGACCCACTGCTTTCGAGCCGGGCGTTTTTTCGCGTCTTCTCGGGCCCCGGGACCCTCAGAGATCGATCGGGCCTGAAACGTGACGCGGAAAGAGGGGGTCCAGGGCTCTGGGAGTGCATGTGTACGACGTTGCAGTTTTTTCGCTACGTCGGATCCCAGGGATAAGCGTCAGGGTGTACCTCCCCGACGGGGGTCAACCTCGCCTCGTCGTCGCGCCGCGACGGGGGTCGGAGCGCCTTCGGTGCGCGGTGGCTGCCCGCGACGGGGGTCGATGTGGCGCCGTCGGCGGGGTGACGCTCCCCCCAGCGCTCAGTCAGAAACTCGGAGCACGGGGAGGCCCAGGCCCAGCCCCTTCCCCGGGAGTGCAGTCTTGCGCCCCGGGTCCGTTTCGGATGGCCCTGGGGCCCCCCCCGAGATCCGACGTAGCGGAAAAGTTGCAACACCGCAAACATTCCCAGACCCCCTCGAGTCATGAAAAAGTCACGACGCGAGGTTTTTCGCCATTTTCGGCATCTGGGGACCCTTACCGGCCCTCAGGACCGTCAAAAAACGACTCAGGATGAAAAGCCGGTCCCGGGGAATGGGTCCGGACCTCTGGGGGTCGCGTCATGAAAAAATCATGACGTCGGGGGTCTGGGTTCACGCCTGGAGCCCCAGACCCCACCCTCCTGCGTCATCTTTCGGGCCCGATCGATCTGTGAGGGTCCCAGGGCCCGGAGAAAAACGCGAAACCACGCCCGGCTCGAGAACAAATGGGGTCGCCAGGCTGCCTCCGGGCCGACGGCGGCCCCCGGAGGCCGACCTCTCGAGGCGAGGCGCCACCTGTGCTGACGAAAAGAGGCGCATCCTCCTCCTCCTCCTCCTCCTCCTCCTCCTCCTCCTCCTCCTCCTCCTCCTCCTCCTCCTCCCTCCCTCCTCCTCCTCCTCCCTCCCTCCTCCTCTTCCTCCTCCTCCTCCTCCTCCTCCTCCGCCTCCCCCCCCACCGAGCAAGGCCGGGTGCCACGAGCCGCCGGGCTACCGCGGCGGGTGCGCCAATGGCATACCTGGGGGCGGCGATGGCCGGGTGGACCCAAGCTTGGCATCGCTCGGACGTGTGCATGTTTTCTTCGGCGTGGACCATCGAGGAGCATCCTTGATCCTTTGGCGAAAAAGCCACGCACGAAGCCGAACAAAAACACAGGGAGTGGACGTCCGAGCGATGGCAGGCAAAAGGGGGTCCAGCGAGACGGGGGTGGCGCGATAGATTTGGTGCACTCGATTGGATGGGTTGCAATAGATTTTGGGCGTGCAATGCATTCCGGGGCGCAAAGGTATTCCTGGGCTTTTGCGTGCAATGCATTCGTTGCAGTGCAATGCGATACAGTTCTCCGGCGCAATGCACTTGCAATACAGTTGCCCGACATCTGTTGCACCACTCCTGTTCAGCTGGACCCCCTCTTGTGGGTCGACCGAAGATGGGGGCGAACAGTTAGCCCAGGGGGGAGCAGTAGACGCATCGAGGGGCGCCGCTGGCCCCACTGTCGCCGGCGAGGCTCCCTGGCGAGTGCGTGTGCCCTGAGGTCCGAGGCCGCGAAGAAGTCGAGGCATCAAGAGAAGCTCAAGCAGTGGCGAAGCGTCCTGGCTCGCCTATAGTCCTACCAAATAATGTTCTAAGAACCTTTTTTATGGTCTGCACGCAATTTTCTTAGAACATTTCTGGCTGGGACTGTCTTGTTTGAACACATCGGGTTTATGTTCTAAAAAACATTGTTTTGGTTCTCAGAACATTTTGGGTTCTAAGAACATGTCGTGGTAGGACAATAGGAATGCTGGGACGGTCGGTCCCTGCTCAAGAAACCACGACGGGATGCCCTAGACTTCGGTGGCAACTCATGGGAGCCTCCCATGCCATCTTGTCGGCTCTTGCGAATCGACGCTCATTGACGCTAGTCGACGCGAATCGATGCTACATCGACGCTAAGTCTGTGCTAATCGACGCTAACCGACGCTACCTCGTCGACGCCCAGACGCTAATCGACGCTAGTCGATGCTAAAGACGGAATTCAGAGGGTATGTCAGGCTCCCACGATTTCAGACCGAGCTAGAACCTATTGTTCTAGGCCTCCTAGATGGGGTCGGAGTAGATGGGGTCGGAGGACCGCGCCGCATCGCCGATGCATCGACGATATGGCTCGATGCGGAGCCCGATTTTCTCCACGCCGACGGCGCCGGTACATCGGCGACATCGACGATGCGGCGCGATCCTCCGACCCTATCTGCTCCGACCCCACCTAGGAGGCCTCTCATCGTCAGGAGGGAGAGAGACACACACCTCACAATTGCAGCGTCGGTTCCCCCGACAAGTATGGGACATATATGGAAAGTGGGGGGAAGACGAAACCCCGCCACAGATATGGAAAAATATAGGGGAATCCTGCCATCTGTGCGTATTCATTTGTGTGGGGAATCCTGCCATCTGTGCGTATTCATTTGTATAGAAAACCCGCCACAAACATGGAAAAAGATGGGGAATCCTGCTGTCTGTGCGTATCCATTCGTGTGTCCCTTGGCCCCCTTCCAGTGGTTCCGCGACGCCTCTCGGGCCGGGTCGTCGAGCCGGGAGGGCCCTCGGGGCCCGAGCCGCCCGGCGAGGGCGCCCGCGGGGAGCGCGGCGCAGCGCCGGGAGCTCGGGGGCTCTCTGTCCGCCCCCTGCCTCCCCAAATCGGGTCGGGCGAAAGGGGGGGTTTGGGAAAGGGGGGGCGAAAGGGGGGGTTTGGGAAAGGGGGGGCGAAAGGGGGGGTTTGGGAAAGGGGGGGTTTGGGACCTGGACCCAATCTAAAGGGCTCGTCGGCTCGTTGCCAATCGACCTGTGGGGATCGAGCCAGACAGCTCCAGGCGGATGGAGAGATGCATCGAGAGAAAAATCCAGGTCCATGCAGGCACATCGAGACACATCCGGGTAGGTCCAGAGATCTCCGGGGAGCGTTGGAGCCACTCGCGGCCGCTCTGGCGCGAGTCGAATGGACGGCAGACGTCGTAAAGACTTTCACGGCTACTCGTCGCCTCCTGCATACAGCCCAGCGGCTGGACGAGGCGGATGAAGGACACGTGGGGCGAGGTGTGTAACGCGCCGTGGCCGTGCGCGCAGGTGCCCCTGAGTCCGCGCCAGCGCGCAGGCTAAAACTTGCGGATGCGGTGTGGGAGGAGGAGGTGGTGGAGGAGGAGGAGGAGGAGGAGGAGGAGGAGGAGGAGGAGGAGGAGGAGGAGGAGGAGGAGGAGGAGGAGGAGAGGGAGGGAGGAGGAGGAGGTTGGAGAGGAGGCGAATGAGGGAGAGGAGGGGGAGGAGGGCGGAGGGGGAGGAGGTGGAGTAGGAGGAGAAGGAGCTCATCGGGGTTTAGTTGAGTCGATCTGGGTGGGCCAGATCATCCTTGGGTCCATATTGGCTTTTCGTTTGACGTCTTTCGAGTGGAATGGTGAACACGATCAACGATTCCTTTCTGGCTCTGATGTGCGTCCCCCCTCTCCCCCTCTCTCAGTATCTCTCTCTCTCTCTCTCGCTCGCTCGCTCTCTCTCTCTCTCTACCTCTGCTTCTCTGTTGTCTTGTTTTGTTTCCCCTCTCTCTCTCTCCTGCTGTTTCCCTTTCCCTCTCTATCTCTGTGTCTCTC